AAGGCTCACTAGTAAAAAAGACAGTCAAGTTTAAATTGTGTTTTTTCCAAAAGAGTTATTAGTGAGGCTTCTCCTTGCCTAAAAAAAAGCAAGATAACAAGTTTACATTGTAAAGCAAAGTATGCAAGCCTTTTCAAGAAAATGCAGAGAAGATTTTCTTCCTTTAAGAAGACAGCATAGAACTCTACCATAAAATTTTGTGAAGAAATATATAGATAAGACTAAAAGAGAATTTAAAAATCTGTTTAAGATAACTGAGTGGATGCGAGAAAAGAAATATATAGGTAAGACTAAAAGAGAATTTAAAAATCTGTTTAAGATGACCAAGTGGAGACCATCTAGTTAAACAGGTAGATCTTAATCTAGTTTTGTTTCTCAAATGAGTTACTGAACTCAAGAGCTGAGCTAACAATCAGAGATGAAACCATTGACTCTTGAGGTTTTTAGGAGAAGAGCAGTAGACCCAAAAGGGGTCGGGTTGGCGCCATGGCTGCTTTTCTTCACAAAACTCCAGAGTCTTCAGAGAAAAAAAGTAGCACATGTAGTTAAAAAAAAAAGAACTGCTGCTTTTAAGAGAGGAGAGAAGCATCATGCAGATAAGCAAGAAAAACATAGTCAAACTTGAATTTTCTCTGGAGCCACCTTAAGGCCAAAAAACCCTGCAAGTCAAAAATCAATTGAGTAAAAGCATCCCGTAAATACGCCCTGTCCTTGTAAAACAAAAGAATATAATCTATGTAAAACAAAAGAATATAATCTATATTATATAGATTGAGGGAATAAATTGAGGGAAAATCTTTATGAAATTGTTGGAAAGCCAAGTCTACAAATTTCTGACAAAATGTAATACTATAATCTGTAACTGCATGTTTTAACTCCTTAAGTAACTTGTAGGGTAGTGACTCCCATATAAGCTCATCCCCCTCATAAGACACAGGAAAATAAAAGAAATTGCCCTCCTTTTGAGCCTGCTTTATGGCCCCTTGAAAGCCAATCTCCCCAAGATTTGGGGATTCTTTCTTTTCTGAAAAAGGATGACAATGAAAAAATGTACTAGGAGGCCATTTTTCTTGATAATATTTAGTTGCCTCCTCATCTAACTTTTCCTGCTCTTCAGGGGTTAAAGGATCATCATCAGAGTCATTAGTTCTTTCCTTATCCAAAGGATTATTAGATGTTAAATTGAGCTTTTGCTTAGAAGCTGCAACCGGGAATAAGCTGTCTTGGGACCCATAAGTTGGTCCCTTCTTGTCTCATAACAAAGGGATCTTTTTGGGGTAGTCATTTCCTGGTGCAAAAAACTCATTTATATTTAATGTCTGTCTTAATGTGCTCCAGATGGAAAAGGCAGTGCTCAAGATGGAAAAGGCAGACACTGGCATATCAGCTCCCCCAAGACTTTGATACCAATGCTTCATGTTGTTTCCCACCTGATCCCAGGTTTTGAAATCTAATGTTCCTTCATTGGGAAACCAGGGGCTCACTGTCTGAACAAACTGAAAAAATTCCATCAACTGTTTCTTACCAACCTTAATGACCTTCTTACATAAAGTATACTTAATAATATCTGCATAGAGACTCCTCTCATTAGAGGCGGTCTGTCCCATCTTTCAGGAACAGATGAAACAACTTATTTGATGATAAGTTCTGGCTTGCAAGCACTCTGTCCTATTCTTTCCAGAACAGAGGGTACTAACTTCTCAAAAGTTCTTGCCTTCTCACCCTTCTTTTCCTGGTCTGACTACTAGGGGGTCTGCAGCACCCACAAGTGACGGCCTATCCACACAAAACACAAAGAAATACTTACCTAATTCAGGTCCCTTGTTTGGGCACCACTTGCCAGAGACCAGCTCCACAGGATTCATTGGACCTGAATAGGTGGTGTGGCATTGGCGAGGAAAGAAAGAGATGGACCACAGATGTCTAGTGCAAGTGTGGACAACAACCACAAAAATCTTGCTTTATTTATATGTTTTTACCTAATATCTTATACATTGATTTATCTTTTAATCAAAACATTTTTTATTTTGTTTCTATTGAAAAAGAAAGGTCAGAAAGAACATGTTCTTGGTAAATCAAGTGAAGCTGTGGGAGTGGGGAGAAACAAAGAAATCTGTAACTGGTTGATGATCAATTTGTTATCAATGATCAATTTGCACCCATGCCCACCGTCTCCCTGGGGGATGTGGATAGAAATCCAACATAATAACTTCATTCCACACATACAAGAGCATGACCAGAAACAATGGGTCAATGCACACATCACTAACAAGGAAGATTAATGACAAAATTAAATGGAGCCAACCCTTACCAGGAACATGCATCAAAAACCTTCAGCACTGACAATGTCCTTTAAATAAACCAGTTAATTTTGATGTATTTAACATGTCCTTTGAGAAACTCCAGGGAATTTCCCAAAGCCATACTAAGCCAAAAGGTTAGGCTGTTTAATTCTGGGAAGCCTTGTCAAGCAACCGAAGGTGAAAAGACAAGAACTTCCATGGAGCTGTACCACACACAGGGGACCCCCTTGTAGCCTGCATAACAAGGGGTATCACTCAGGCTCCCAAGCTGTTCCCTATAGCAGGATGGCTCATGGCAAGAGCTTCCACAGAACCCAAGTGTACCAGAACTCACAAGACCTGGAAGTATGTACAGGGTCAATAATTAAAACCTGAGCTGCACAAAAAGCACTCCCCAGGGAGTCATCAGCAATGAAGCAGTTTAGCTTAGCTCAAACACAGGGTTCAATTGCTGGTCCCCACAGGAAGTTCCTCCATTTTAGAAGTAAGCAAAGGACAACAAATTACTTCTAGTGCTTAAGTGGTGGGGCCAGAAAATAATCCAACACAGAACTGAAAGAACAAAAAAAATACCAACAGACCAGAGACAAATTTGATATTAACTAGTAAAGGTCTCACATCACCAAAGAACACCTATAAAACTTAGAAGGAAAGGAAGCCCCCTGGGCTCACGGGGGAGGGAGGGGGAAGGGCAGGGGCCTGTGCAATGCCCCCCAACATTTGCAACCAGCCCAGCAATGACCACTGAGCTGCCACAGGAAGTGCCCCAGGATCATGACCTGGGGTTATGGGGGGCTGATGGCCTCAGACACATATCCCCTGACATGCACAACCAGCCCAGTGATGACCACCAAGCTGTCACTGGAAGTGACCAGGGTCCCAAACTAGGGAGGTGGGGGCCAAGGACCTCAGCTGCACCTCCCTAACATTCACAACTAGCCCAGTGACAACCATCAGGCCACTTCAGGAAGCACCCTGGGCTCCCAAGCTGGGGTGTAGGGGGTGTGGGGGATGAGGGCTTCAGCCACATCCCCCTAACATTTGCATCCAGCCCAAATAATGACTGAGCCACCACTGGAAGCCTCCTTTCTCCTCTGTAAGAATGAGGGGGTGACACAGGCATCAACCATGCCCCACTCCTTCTTCCTTCTCCCACCCTGTTTCCTTTCCCCTTCCCATCTCCCCCTCCCCCAACTGCTCTGCAACATCTTAGAATGTAAATATATATATACATTAAAAAATAAACAAAAAATTAAAACAATCAAAAGGAGCAGAAAATTTGTCTCTTAATTTTGGGCTAGATTTTTGATTGTTTAACTCACCCCAAAGGTGCAAAGTGTGTTGTTTGGAAGAAGGCAGAGAAAGACATAGTAGTTATGTTCTGAAAATGTATTTAAAATTTTTTCCATGTAAAATAATTATTTTAATTCAATTTAAATGAAAGCAGTCAAGGAAACTCCAAACTTTTAAGAATTATAGCTCCCTGTGAAATATGAACAGAAACAATCACCAATTTCAGAAATCTGATTATAACAACTGATCCACCCCTAAATGATTCAAATCTTGGAATCAGTTCCATTTTAAAACTAGTACTATGCACCAAGCCACGTGCTAGGCCCTGGGAGTAAGAACATGAAACCCATTCATGGAGCTTACATGCTAGGGGTTGTGCCAGACAATAAACAAGAAATATAATAGATTATAAGAAGGACGGTGAAGGAAGTCAACAGGGTTCTAGTTACAATAGTATTTCAAGGAAATTATTTAACATGCTAGATTTAACTTCTGAAGAGTCTTCTCCAAGCATGCCTAAAGGAGACCTCTGAAAAGTGGTATTGTTACTTCTAGATTAATGACTATGTTGAGGCCAGATGGGATGGAGGAAGTTTTCCCATGCCAGTGCAAAAGGCTATTCACCCTGATTCAAACTCTCTTGTCCAGACTGAATTACCCATTCCCCCCAAACCTCTCCTACAGAAATTTTGGAGTCATCACTGGTTCCATCTACTAGGTAGCCCCTACCTAGTAGAGTGGTGAACTAATTATCAAACATGGGACAAAATAGACAGAGAGTTTACATAAAATGCCACAATTTTGGAATAAATAACCATAATGTGTATTCTCCTGCCTGCAGCCCTAACTGGCACTCATTTTGTAGACCAGTTGCTTTTCTTGGAAGCGGTATGGCCAAGGGGAAGATCTCTCAGTTTTCAGCTTGGAAGAGGAAGAGTTCAGGCTGTCAGAACCATAGTAGCACTTCTGAATATCCCAACAGGAGAAGCCCTGTGACTTCTCTGGGATGTCCTACAACCCCCCACACCAACAGGCTGCTGGAGGCCCGGGGACACCAGGGGTCTGCGACCCAAATTCTGTCTCACTGAGGTAGTGAGGGGCTGTTCCAGCGGGAAGTGATTGCCACCTCTGCAGGAGACAGGGAGGCTTGAGCCCCTTGATTGTGGGACAAGACACACCCTTATGATGCCCATGTGGACCCCAGCCTAATAATGGTTGCTGTGGAAATGAAGATATCATAAGTAAAGGGCAAGGCAGGGGCGAGGCCATAGCTGCAAAGGGCACGCACAATGCAGAGATGCAATAATGGTTCTGCTTAGTGAGGTGAACCACTGGGTAGGTGCCAGAATTGACAAGGATCCTGACCACCAGAGCCCCAATATGAGATCCCAACTACAACTCTAGGTACTCCGGCATCTTCACTGCCCTGAGGACCTCCGACTACCAAGGGAAGACTGAGCACAAGTCACTGAGATACTCTGATCACCACGTGAATCATTCCACATGCTTACGGGACTTGACTTATATGGGATCCTCTTCTGCCTCCCAGATGTTGGTCACCATTGAGGAATTGGCTGAGAATTTGGTTCCATTCCTAGACACAGATTCAGCAGAGACATGCTCCCAGAGCCAGGAAAGTTTGCTCAATCATATCAGGATCTGCACAAGACAGCTAGGCAAAAAAGGCTCCAAGAGGTGGTTCCAATGGAAGATTAGGATCAGAATCAGGCCCTGGCTCTGCCTCCTTGACTCAAAAGATTCAAAGTGTGCATCTATATCAGGCTGCAGACCACAAGTCAGTTAAAATACTTTTTCTGCATCTAGATAGTGATAGTTCAAAAGCAACAAAGTTTATTGTTTCATCCCTGAAATGAAGAAAAATATAGCTCAGGATCCATGGCTTGCTAATGTTGTAGGACATCCACAACGATTTTCATCCAGACCTAAGCATCAAAAACCAAACGTGCAGGATGATAATGGATTTTCCAGTATGGATATCATTTATGAAGAGTTTTCTCTAGAATCCCAGAATGGAAAAAAAGGAGTGTCTAGAGGCCACTGAGACAGGTGAAGCACAGCAATTACAGCAAAAGCCCCTATCTGAAAACCCAGATAATCCAGGAGAGCAAATCCTCACCAGCACACAAAGTATGTCCACCTCAGGCTCCAAGTCCCTGAAGGAGGTACAATGTTTTGCAAACATACAGGAGGTCACAACTCCACCTGCACAGGGCTGAGAAGGTAAAACTGTCTTAAACAGAGCAGGAGGGCCCAGCTAAGCCATCAGTGCATGATGAGGTAAGTGTTCTAACAAAAAGACAGAATGTAGTTCTGCACACAAACATGCACAATGTCAAGTTTGGGCCTGTTCATCTAGAGCTTACAGTAACTCCAGAGTCAGGTAAAAAAAAAAACAAAAAAAAACAAAAACACTCCAAGTAAGCAGAAGGTCCCAGATCAGCCACCAGACCATCCAGAAGAATGAGAAAGTTAAACCAAGCAGGAGACACAAGCAAAAAATTCAGACACTCCCGTGGAAGCTGAACCTTCCCCGACGCAGCAGGAAGAGCCAATTCACTCTCCTGGGAAGAGTAAACTTTCTCCAGTTCAGCAGGAGGACCCAGCTCAGGCTCCCGAGTTCCCTATGAAGAGTACAGCTCCAACTCCACCACATCATGAGGTGACGTTCAACCACCAAGTCAGGACCAAGCTCATGATTATAACTTGGCTGTCGTTACAGTTGTAGCCCAGACATAGCCCACTAACCTTCGGGTGTGGTGATTGCCATAAGCACACAGCCTATCGCGGGGGTTGAAACTTCTCCAGGCCAGCAGGAGACCTCAGCCAAGCATCCAGGCCTCCCTGTGGAGGCCGAACCTTCTCCCAGTGAGCAGGAGCAGCCAGCTCAGACTTCAGGGTGTCCTGAGGAGTGTGAACCTTGTCCAATCCAACAGGAGCAACCAGCTCAGTCTCCAGAGCATCACAAAGTGACAGTTTTACCTCCACGTCAGCAACACACTAAGTATTTAAACTTGTCCAATATTAACCCCCCGGGGCTGCAGCTTACCCTAACAGTAGAGGCTGCTGCAGAGGTGGGGACTTTTCCAGTCTGCCACGAGTCCACAGCTCAGCCCTCATGGCCAGCTCATGACGCCGAACCTTCAAAAACTCAGCAGAAGGTGCCAAGTCTGTCTCCAAGGCCTCCTGAAGAGGTGGAGCCTTTTTCATTTCAACAAGAGGATTCAGTTCGACCTGCAGAACCTATTAAGGAGGAGAAACCCTCTTTAAACCAGCAGGAGGTTGCAGCCGAAAATCCACAGACCACTGAGGAGGTGGAACCTTCTGCGACCCAGCAGGAGGCCCTAGGCCAGCCTCTAGAGCTCCCCAGTGAAGTCGTAGCTCAAGCCATAGAGCCTCAAGAGGTAACAGTTTCCCCTGCAGGTCACAATCAAGTTCAGCCACCAACACTGCACACTTTTGCTGTTAAGCGTATGAATGTCTTGGTTACCACTAGTGTCCAGAGCTCACCGCTGAGGTTGAAACTTCAACCCTACTGGAGGACCCAGCTCAGTACACAGTGTCCCCTGAAGAGGTTGGAACGTTGAAAGACCAGCAAGAGGTTACAGTACAGCAGAGAAGCCCGTCTGAAACAAATGGACATTTACCAATCCATCTTCTGGAAGGCCCTCACTCAGCCCGAAAAGGCCCTAAGGAACCATCTCCAAGCCAGCAAGAGAGCGCAGCTCCGCCTCCAGAGCCCCCTGTGGCTGTTGAACCTCCAGCAGTCCGAGAAGACTACCCAACGCAGCCACCAGCATCCTCCATGGAGGACTCAATTCATAGTCCATTGAAGGACGAGAAGACATTTCACCACTAGGTCTGCCTTTTATCTTCAGAGGTCATGATTCAACACTGTCTAGAACAACAATCCCATCTCGCTTCCCAAACTGCAGATTTCCCTTGAAAATGCTGAATCTGATCTAGCCCAGCGAGAGGCCTCAGCTCAGACTCCATATCATCTTCAGGAGGTAGGCCCTTCTCCAGTCAAACAGGAGGCCCCTGCTGGGCCACCAGAACCCTCTATGGATTCATCAAACACTGCCTCGTACACCAGTTACGCATGTGCATGTGGAGCTCACCGGGACTCCTCCAGGGCCTAGTGACCATGTGGAACCTTCTCCAGTCCGGCAGGAGGGCCCCGCTGGGCCACCAGATCCCTATATGGACGTTGAACCACCTGTGAACCAGCAGGAGCCCCCAGGTCTGCCACTAAAGCCCCCTGAAGAGGGGCCCGAGCCTTAGCCCGTGCCCCAGGACACTGCAGCTCCACCTTCAGAGCAACCTAAGGAGGTGGAACCTTCCCCACATCAGCAGCTGACCGCCATCTTAACCTGCAGAACTGTCTGAGAACGTAGACTCATCCCTAGTCCACCAAGAGGCCCTTCCTCAGCCTCCAGGTCCCGCCAAGGAGGCAGAACCTCCTCCAGTTCAGCACGAGGTCTCAGCTCGGCCCGCAGAGTCCTCTGGGCTGGTGGAATCCTTCCCCACCCAGCAGACGGCCCCGGCTCAGCCTCCAGAGCCACCTAAGGACGTTGTAGCTCCACCTCCAATGCATTATGAGATGACAGTTCCAACACAAACCAAGTCAGGATCCAGCTCAGAATCCAACGTTGCCCATTATCACATTTCAACCCTTGGACCTGGAGATGACCAGCACTCCAGAACCCACCGTTCAGGCTGAACATTCTGCAGCCCTAAAGGAGACTACAGCTCCTTCTCCAAAGCCCCCTGAGGTAACCTATCCACATGCACACTGGGCTCAGCATCCGAACCTGCCTCGAGTCCCAGATCAACGTTTCCCTCTGGCACTCACCATAACTCCAGAACCCACTGTGGAGGTTGAACACTCTCCAACAATGCAGGAGACCCCAACTCAGCTTCCACAGCCACCTACAGAGGTCATAGCTCAACCTCCAGTGTATCCAGATGAGACGGTTTCAATACCAGCATCACCTGTGCTTATAGTCCTGGCAGACCCGGGGGCCTTTGACCATATTGGATCCTCTGCTGCCTCCCAGCTGTTGGTCCCAACACAGGACTTGCTCGAGAATTTGGTTCCATTCCCGGGCGAGGAGTCAGCTCAAGAGCTACCCGCAGAGCCAGGGCACTTTGCCCTTCCACGTCCGGATCTGCATGACAAGCTGGCTGGGCCACAAAGGATCCAAGAGGTGGCTCCGATGCAAGATTGGGATCAGCATCAGGCCCTGGCTCTGCCTTCTCGACTCAAAAGATTCAAACTGTGGGCCTAGATCAGGCTGCAGACCACCAGTCATTTCAAATCGTGCTTCCGCATCTAGATAGTGAGAGTTCAGAAGCAGCAAAGTTTGTCCTTTCCACCCTGAATCCGAGGAAAGATCGAGCTCAGCATCCGCGGCTCGCTGAGGTTGTTCGAACTCCACACCGATTTGTGTCCCAACCTAAGCGTCAAAAACCAATCTTGAAGGATGAGAAAGGATCTTTGAGGATGGATATCGATTATCCTGTCCAGAACCCACCGTTCAGGCTGAACATTCTGCAGGCTTAAAGGAGACTACAGCTCCTTCTCCAAAGCCCCCTGAGGTAACCTATCCACATGCACACTGGGCTCAGCATCCGAACCTGCCTCGAGTCCCAGATCAACGTTTCCCTCTGGCACTCACCATAACTCCAGAACCCACTGTGGAGGTTGAACACTCTCCAACAATGCAGGAGACCCCAACTCAGCTTCCACAGCCACCTACAGAGGTCGTAGCTCAACCTCCAGTGTATCAAGATGAGACAGTTTCAACACCAGCATCACCTGTGCTTATAGCCCTGGCAGACCCGGGGGTCTTTGACCATATTGCATCCTCTGCTGCCACCCAGCTGTTGGTCCCAACACAGGACTGCTCAAGAATTTGGTTCCATTCCCGGGCAAGGAGTCAGCTCAAGAGCTGCCCCAAGAGCCAGGGCACTTTGCTCTTCCACGTCCGGATCTGCATGACAAGCTGGCTGGGCCACAAAGGCTCCAAGAGGTGGATCCGATGCAAGATTGGGATCAGCATCAGGCCCTGGCTCTGCCTCCTTGACTCAAAAGATTCAAACTGTGGGCCCCGATCAGGCAGCAGACCACCAGTCATTTCAAATCATGCTTCCGCATCTAGATAGTGAGAGTTCAGAAGCAGCAAAGTTTGTCCTTTCACCCCTGAATCCAAGGAAAGATCTAGGTCAGCATCCGCGGCTCGCTAAGGTTGTTTGAACTCCACACCGATTTGTATCCCAACCTAAGCGTCAAAAACCAATCTTGGAGGATGAGAAAGGATCTTGGAGGATGGATATCGATTATCCTGAAACTCTCTCTAGAATCCCAGAAGGGCCCTGATGACTTGTCTAGAGGCCCCTGAGCCAGTTGAAACTAACCAATCTCAGCAAGAGGCCCCACCTATCTCCAAGCCCAGACACCCCAGGAGAGCCAATCCTCTCCAGCCCAGCAGGAAGACCCAGCTCAGCCTCCACAGCACCCTGAGGAGGCAGAACTTTCTCCAGCCGAGCAGGAGGTCCCAGCTCAACCTTCACAGCCCCCTGAGGAGGTAGAACTTTCTCCAACCCAGCAGCACGACCCAGATCCACCTGCACAGCCCCCAGAGGATGTAGAACTTTCTCTAACACAGCAGGAGGTCCCAGCTCAACGTCCACAGCTCCGCCTGTGGATGTCGAACCTTCTCCCGGTCAGCAGGAGCAGCCAGTACAGCCTGCGGGGTCTCCTGGGGAGAGTAAACTTTCTCCAGTTCAGCAGGAAGACCCAGCTCAGGCTCCCGGGTTCCCTATGAAGAGTATAGCTCCAACTCCACCACATCATGAGGTGACGGTTCAACCCGCAAGTCAGGACCAAGCTCATGATTACAACTTGCCGGTCGTTACAGTTGTAGACCAGACGTGGCCCACGAACCTTCGGGTGTGGTCATTACCATAAGCACACAGCCTATCGCGGGGGTTAAAACTGGTCCAGGCCAGCAGGAGACCTCAGCCCAGCATCCAGGC